CCTCCGGGTGGCTCCTTGCTGGGCAGCACCGCTGGGGAGATCACCGGCCTGAGAGCCATTGGGAGGGTTCCCAGCCGCACATCTGGCGCCCTGACTGTTTATCCACTTGACATTTGAAAAGATGCTTTTTCTCCTCTTTCCCAGATGTCTTGACGGGATCACTGAGGCTCTTTGTGACTGAGGGTGGTCAGACTGCCACGGGAGAAGATGGGGGTCTCAGAGCAAGAGCTGGAGGCGGGGGAGGGGAAGAAGAAGGCCTGGATTTTGATCCTGCGGGTCCCACACAGTCACACACATACACACACACACACACACACACACACACACACGGCCATTCATTGCAGACACACCCCTCGCGGGCAGTGGGCAGCGGGCGGCGGCACTTACACACACCCTAACCCTTGGGAACCTACCCCACAGTTGCTTTCTTGAATTGTTCCTGAATAAACGGTTTCTGTAAGATTCTGAACTGAGGGAGGCTGCTTCCTGGGTACCTTGGAGGGTTTGGGGAAGGGTGGGGCGGGGAGGTCTAGGGAAGGAGGGACATACTGGGCCGCTCAGGGACTCAAGCGTCGCCCCGCCCCCATGTCATTTCCCATCTGGCGCCTGCACTGCCTGTTGGCCCCACCTCTGGCCAGGTCCCCCATTTACTCACGACCCATTGAACCCCTATCTGCCACGTACGGCTAATGACCAGGATGAAGCAGCGAACCAAAGAGACCTGCCACTTGGAGCCAACTTCCGGGAGGGGGAGGGAGGACACTAAACAACAGACCCCATAAATCAGTAAATGGCACCGGGTGTCCAGAGTGGCGGAGACCAGGGGAGCAGGGGCCAGAAGTGACCATGCAGTTGGGCAGCTACGCCCCAAGACTCGGTGCAGGGTCAGAGCCTCAGCAGGAGGGAATGGGAGCCACAGAAGGGCCTGAGCTGGGGAGGGACAAGAGCAGACTTGCATATCCCAGCATCTGTCCCTCTGGCTGACAAAGTGTGGAATTTGGATCTAAAAGGCCCAGCCCTAGCCAGTTTGGCTCAGTGGCTAGAAAGACAGCCCGAGGGCTGAAGGGTCCTGGGTTCCATTCCGGTCAAGGGCACATACCTGGGTTGCAGACTCTGTCCCCAGCCCCAGTTGGGGCGCATGCAGGAGGCAACCAATCTGTGTCTCTCTCACATCGATGTTTCTCTCTCCCCCCCCCTCTCTAAAAATCAATGGGAAAATATCTTCAGGGGAGGATGAACAACAACCAAAAGGCCCAGACTGGAGGCCAGGAGAGCCTGCGGAGGCCACTGAGCCACCTGAAGTTATCAGTGGGGCTTGCTCCTCCCTGGCCTCCCGGCCTCAGCTCTGAACGCCTTCTGCGCACCGTGGCTGCGTGGTCCTTCTCAAGTCAGAGTCCCCAGCCACAAAGAGATGGCGGGAAGCAGAAGGGAGCTGGAAGGTGGGGGGGGGGCAAGTGCTATATGAGAACACAGTGGCAACTTAGTGAGCAATGTGGACAGCATGTCCAGGGAAATATTCCGGGTCCAGAACCTCTAAAACAGTGATGGCGAACCTTTTGGGCTCGGCGTGTCAGCATTTTGAAAAACCCTAACTTAACTCTGGTGCCGTGTCACATATAGAAATGTTTTGATATTTGCAACCATAGTAAAACAAAGACTTATATTTTTGAGATTTATTTTATCTATTTAAATGCCATTTAACAAAGAAAAATCAACCCAAAAAATGAGTTCGCGTGTCACCTCTGACACGCGTGTCATAGGTTCGCCATCACCGCCCTAAAACGTAGGATGAAATCTAACAAGATGCAATGAATGGCTGAGCTGGTAGGAAAATAAGAGAGCCTCCGAGGCCAGCAACTATGGGGATATTTGTGTCCAGAGGAGTGAGCCAGCTCTGGGGCTCGCTCCTGTCCGTGGGAAATCTACACCCAGGAGCCAGGAGCCCAGGGCCACCCCCTCTTCCTTGGACATCTTCTTCCAGTGGCTCTCCAGACACCACCCATGGGAACCAAGAGACACTTGGGCCCCTACATCAAACCTGTACTCTTGACGGGCAATGCTCTCAAGCTGTGGCTGGCAGAATACTGGCCCCTATAGACGGATAGAGCGTCAGCCTGCAGACCGAAGGGTCCCAGGTTCCATTCCAGTCAAAGGCACAAGCCTGGGTTGCTGGCTTGGTCCAACATGCAGGAGGCAGCCAATCAATGATTCCCTCTCATCATTGATGTTTCTATCTCTCTCCTCCTCTCCTAAATCAAAAAAATATATATATTTTTAAAAGGTTGCAGTTTGATCCCCAGGCGGAACGTGTACGGGAAAATGTATATTTCTATCTCTTGTATATTTCTATCTCTTTCTCCCCCTCTCCATTACTCTCTCTAAAAAAAAAAAAAAAAATCAATAAAACCATATCCTCGGGTGAGGATTTTAAAAACCATACAGCCCTGCCGACGCCTCGATTTTAACTCAGTGAAATCTATTTTGGATTTCCATAACGGTACGATAATAAATTTGTGCTGTCTTAAGCCACTAAGTTTGCAATCATTTGATACAGCAGCAACAGAAAACTAATACAATTGGTGACCTAGAAAATATACACCCCCAAGACAGGCGAGGATGCTTGCATATCTTGACCTTGGATCTGGGTGGAAGTGGGGAAAAAGGGAAAATGTTGACCTGAGAATTTATAGCCACAAGCTGCAATTTTAGTTTTGCGTGGTCTAGGCAGAGAGTAGTGGATGCGTGAGAATTTCTCTCTTGCAGGGACTGAGGGAGAGCAATCTGGTTGGGGGACAGCTTCTAGATTTGTCTTGAAGCTGCATCTGATTAGCTTGCACACAGATTTTACTTAGACTGTGACAGTCCCATAAAAATAGAAAAGTTTAAAAATATATTTTTTAAAAGTTCTAAATGAAGTGGTCCAGAGGGAGTATGCCCAAGAGTGCCTGGCATAAGCAAGCACAAATCCTCTGTCCTTTAAATACAGGACTCAAAGGAATTCTATAGAAAATTCTGAAATATATAATGGAAGAAAACACACAAAATGTACAAAGAAACAAGCCACCGTGCGTGAGAGAAGCTTCAAAACTTAAATATCCATCCTGCAAAAATAGCAGATTTTGAAATTATATGACACAAATGTAAAATAAGTATGATCAATATATTTGAAGAAACAAAATCAAGTTATCCAAAGGATAACCAAAGAACAAGAGACCCTACCGTGGCCAGTACTGTTGAAAGATGACCAAATAAAACTTCTAGAAATTAAAAAATATAATCATAAAAATGAGAAATTCAAGATATGGGTTAAACAGCTGGACAGAGAGATAGTGAACTGGAAGGTGGATTTAAAGAAATAACTCAGAATGCACAACAGAGAGAGATTGAAGTCACTCACACAAATATTTCTTTGAATTCCAGGAAGAAGAAAAAACAAGTTAAAGAGAACAGGAACTATGCAATAGGAAGAAAAATAATGGCTGAGAATCGCCCA